CTGCCAGGTCAGGATCGTATCTTAGTTCATTAAAAGCTTGCTTCAATATAACTTTGCTTATTTTCTGTATGTCTGAAGAATTTTCTACATTGGCCGAGCTAAATGTTCATTAGTTAAAACAGGAGAAGTGAATTGTGTTAACAATGTAAATTTGTATTTTTTTTTTAAAGAAGAAGTTCAGAGCTTTCTTGGGAATGTTACAGCCCTAAAATGAACTTTCTAGATTCTGAGCAGCTTGCAAAATTGGGTCTAGACATGACTTTTTTCCACAGATAGAACCACTTTGAAAGTATGAGCTAAATTGTTGCTTTTCCAAAAGAAATACTGCTGGCTATTTTTTGCTTGCTTGCGGTAGTTATCCAGAAAGGTTAGAGCTTTTATTTTTCCCCCCCTCAAATCATTAGTACATATAGCGAGCCTCAACCCAGCAAACTACTTACACACACATTGGCAGAAAAGAGAGAAAACTGTACTTTTCAAGTACTCAGTATTTACACGAGATCTCATATTTTGGGTTCAGATCTTCACAAAGGAAATAATTTGCTTTGCCAAACCCACACAATATTCTTGCCAGCAAGTTAAGGGAATGTGGATTGGATAAGATGGATAGAAAGATGGCTAGAAGGCCGGGCCCAGCAGATAGTGATCAATGGCTCGATGTCAGGATGGCGGTCGGTTTCTAGTGGAGTGCCCCAAGGTTCAGTTCTAGGACCGGTTTTGTTCAATATCTTTATTAATGATCTGGATGAGGGGATGGATTGCACCCTCAGCAAGTTTGCGGATGACACTAAGCTGGGGGGAGAGGTAGATACGCTTAAGGGCAGAGATAGGGTCCAGAGTGACTTAGACAAATTGGAGGATTGGGCCACAAGAAATCTGATGAGGTTCAACAAGGACAAGTGTAGAGTCCTGCACTTGGGACGGAAGAATCCCAAGAATTGTTACAAGCTGGGGACCAACCGGTTAAGTAGTAGTTCTGCAGAAAAGGAACTGGGGGTTACAGTGGATGAGAAGCTAGATATGAGTCAACTGTGTGCCCTTGTAGCTAAGAAGGCTAATGGCATATTAGGTAGCATTAAGAGGAGCATTGCCAGCAGATCCAAAGATGTCATCATTCCCCTTTATTCGGCTTTGGTGAGACCGCATCTGGAGTATTGTGTCCAGTTCTGGGCCCCCCACTACAAAAAGGATGTGGAGCGGGTCCAGTGGAGGTTAGGAGGAGAGGCTGAGGGAGTTGGGTCTGTTTAGTCTGCAGAAGCGAAGAGTGAGGGGGGATTTGATAGCAGCCTTCAACTTCCTGAAGGGAGGTTCCAAAGAGGATGGAGAGAGGCTGTTCTCAGTATTAACAGATGGCAGAACAAGGAGCAATGGTCTCAAGTTATGGTGGGAGAGGTCCAGGTCGGATATTAGGAAAAACTATTTCACTAGGAGGGTGGTGAAGCACTGGAATGGGTTACCTAGGGAAGTAGTGGAGTCTCCATCCCTAGAGGTGTTTAAGTCCCGGCTTGACAAAGCCCTGGCTGGGTTGATTTAGATGGGATTGGTCCTGCCTAGAGCAGGGGGCTGGACTTGATGACCTTCTGATGTCTCTTCCAGTTCTATGATAAGGGGATGGTTTGAGAACATGATCTTGGTAACTAATTGACCATTCATTATCAGTGGGAAATAGGTCAATGGAGTTACTATAGAGAACTTTCTGGGTGTCTGGCTGGTGAGTCTTGCCCACATGCTCAGGGTTTAGCTGATCGCCATATTTGGGGTCAGGAAGGAATTTTCCTCCTGGGTAGATTGGCAGAGACCCTGGAGGTTTTTCGCCTTCCTCTGTAGCATGGGGCACAGATCACAGCTGGAGGATTCTCTGCATCTTGGGGCCTTCAAAGTATTTGAAGGCTTCAATATCTGAGACATAGGTGAGAAGATTATTCTAAGAGGGGTGGGTGAGATTCTGTGGTCTGCACTGTGCAGGGGGTCAGACTAGATGATCATAATGGTCCCTTCTGACCTTAAAGTCTATGAGTTACACGGGGATATAAATGTTAGACCTAACTTATTGCCCTCATTTTGCATGTGATAGAGACATTAAAAAATGTGGAGCCTTAGTCCACATTGGTTTTCAAAACTGCTGGTGTTGCAACAGAAGTTTTTACGTGTTGAAGACAAAAAATAACCTTGTAGTTCTAATGCAGCACTTTACCTGGTGCGCATGTGTGAGGTGCAGTTAAAGACTGGTGAAACGCTGATTTCACTATTTTAGTCTTTACATTCATACCTTATTGTTCCTTAATTTTATGGGATTTGTTCTGTTCTAGTAAATTAGGCAGCCCTCATATAGGCTCCCTTGTTTGGCAACTGGAGGGTGAATGAACTCAGGTGGCCTGGTTAATCCTGCATTTGGAAACCTGTAAGCCATTAGAACAGCGGTTCTCAACTCGTTTCAGTCCACGGACCACCAGGCCAATCAAAAAATTTTCGTGGACCACCTCCTTTTTGAGACATGATAAAAAAGAGCAGACAACAAACATTTTGGTTTGAAATTAATTTCTTACTAACAGATTTTTGAATTCTCACTGACAAGCTTTTCAATATTTGGAGTGGTTCTTGATAATGCACAACGAATATCGCTTCCCACTGCAAACCGATTCCTCTGTTTGGACTTAATGTGCAACAAACATTAAAATCCAATCTCGCACATATAAGTTGATGTAAATGGAAAAAGAAATCTGACTGCGTGTGCTGACAGATTTGGGTAACTCCTGGTCATGCTGGCCCAAAATTTCTCTATGGCAGACTGCTGGTACATGTCTTGAGCCGCAAAATCATTTTTCAGATCCAAGAATTCCTCCTGCAGGCGATGCTATGGATGACGCGCCGCGTGCTTGTGAACATGGCGTAAAACAGCCTAAAGGTGGCACCTGCTCATGCCATGTGACTTTGGACATGTGGACCACCGAAAAAGTCACCATGGACCACCAGTTGAGAACCATAGCATTAGAAGTGTGGAAAGAATTGAGGGCATGGTTACCATTTGCCAAGCACCTTTGCATATAAAATTAAGATATTGCTAAATATATAAAGGTGTTTCATGGCAGACATGAGATCCTCAGCCCCACTCTGGCCCCTGTAAATGGTTCTAATTCTAACTCAGGGAGGATTTCTCTGTTATAGGCACCAAGGAAGAAAGACTTATACACAGCCTGCTCAGGAAACCCATTGATTATCACAACCCTTCCAAATTGGTTCTCTAAAATGCTCAATGTAAGGGGAGGAGGTATGTTGCAATGTCTTGTCCAGTATGTGGACCCAGTCACCTCATTTCTCTTACCTCCTACATTGAAGGAAGAGGTCTGTGACATCGGCTTGCAGCTAGGACCTGCCTGAGGATATAGAGGGGGTATTGACCTCCTATTTCCCTCATAGCTGTAGGCCCCAGATAAAATCCACATGGATGGATGCTTTTAATAAAGCTGCAGCTTCTGCACGTAATCATACTATGGCAAACAGTATGTGCCTCCTTGTTTTCATACACATGAGAAAAGTATCAAGCAAGCTCAGCTTTAGAAAGAAAATATATTACAGGCAGTCCCCGGGTTACATGGATCCGACTTACATCGGATCCCTACTTACAAACGGGGTGAGGCAACCCCGCACTAGCTGCTTCCCCCTAGCAGACCAGGGAGATGCGAAGCTAGCGCCCCCCTCCAGCAGAACAGGGAGACGCGGAGCGGCTTTTCTCAGCAGACACCTCAGCTTGAGAATAAAGGACTGAGGGAAGTGAGGTGTGGGAGAATAAAACTGAGCTCTGGAGAAATGTTTGGCTAGAGTTTCCCCTACAATATGTACCAGTTCCGACTTACATACAAATTCAACTTAAGAACAAACCTACAGTCCCTATCTTGTACGTAACCCAGGGATTTTTCCATGAAAATGCTTTACCAAGCTTTAGAAGAGGCACCAGATCTTAGTGATAAAACCAGAGAAAATTCATACTTACCTATAATCATTGTTTGTCTATCCATCAGAGTTGATCTCTGAAGCCACCACATCTATTATAGAATTTTTTCCCCTTCCAGAATATTACAGCACATTTGCTTTGTATTTTAAAAAGTGTTGTTAAACAATCATAAAAAGATGTTAAAAAAAAATAACACACACAATACTACATGTAAAGAGCGTACACATCTGATTGTAGATGGAGATCCCTTAATTCAATTCTCTGGAGGTTCTGTATCGATTAATATGTAATAGCTATCTTGTAATATGTACATTTAAAAGGGGATGTGGCTGCATTATATTTGGAATAGCAGATGTGACAACAATAATAATCTGTTCTAACAACAGTGGCCCAAAAGGAATTCTGAACTTTTTAAACAAAACCAAACCAAAGACTTGAGACATTTATCAAAATATTTAGGTGTGAACATTTGATCTTCAACATTGCTAAAATGATACTTTTTTGAATTTGTATGGCCAGATCCTCTATGAATCTATATTTTATGCCAATTCAGGATATAACCCTTAATATCTGTATCTGCCATAATTTATATTTTACATATATGCAACCAGATCAATTTTTAAAAGTTTCCAAAGTGTATATAGCACATGCAAAATCAAGGGGTGAAATCCTGGTCCCACAGAAGTCAGTAGGATTTTTTCCACTGACTTCCAATAATTCTGGATTTAATCTTGAGGTTTAGAGTCATGCCTATTCCCATGTTAAAAACATAGAAGGGCAGATCTCAATCTATAAGCTTCAAGGGACCCGTGCAGATATAAGAGCAGCAGAGGATTTGGCTGAGAATGATGTTACTATACTTTCAGGTTTTTCAGAACAAACCAATGACTCTGTTTTATTTTTGTGTTTGAAATAGAAAAAATTGGCTTCCGAGTCTACTTGCTGTTTGCAAATGAGATTTGCAGGGTTAAGGAAAAGACAGTGAGAATTGACTGTCCTTATACTTAGTATAACACAATTTCTGCTCATATTAATATATAATACTTACATAAAAATCTTGGGTAATAGCCAGGAAAGATGAGTTTTACTTCCTTCTAGTTCAAAAATTTACTGAGACCTATCAAAAAAACCAAGTATGCAATTCAGCAGTTAGAAACAACTCATCAGATTATTTTTGTTGTCTAGAGTATATCATTCAGCCAAATGGGGCTGTTCTGGGAACTTTAAGATCATTGGTATTTATCCATTCGTATTGGGCAGGATTATAAAAATCTGGCTTGATCAATTCCCTAGATTATAAAACCCTGTAAAGAGTTAACCAATCTGTTATATTAAACTGTCATTCTTTGAGCTTATTGCTTTAGAAAAATTATCTCTGTGTAGCTCTTACTTTATGTAACTAGTAATGCCTCCAAGCTTTAAATATAGTATTAGGGGTAATTTTCTCTGCCTTAATGTGCATGTATAAATCAATGAAATGGTCATACATGAGTTTTAAAGCATTCACTTTTTCAGCTATTACTAATTTAGAACTACTCTTTTTCATATATAAATTTATTGGCGAGAGACATTACTGAACACTGGCACATAAATCTGAGAGCCAGGCTCAGGGCATAATGGATCTTTGAATAATCTCCTCGTGGTCAGCTTTGTTACCCTACTTTTGGGAGCTACCTGTGTTTAGCAATAGAGGGTAGAAGGTGGTTGGAGTTTTTTATTTTTTATTCAGAGCCACTTGCTACTTCTGTAGAGGAGAGAGGTGCAGATTGCAATGCTGGGCGGAATGTCAGGCTTAAGTGTAGGGGAAGGGAGTTGTAAACAGTGTAAGTATAAAATGGCAGGCCAGAGTCTTTTAAAATTAAAGTTATGACTATTGTCTCACCTCATTTCACTCTGCAAATTACCTGTGCAAATAAATGGTACCCATTCCATTGTTTTGCTTGTCACAAAGCTGGAAATTGGCCTTAACTACATAATTGAGAGGGTTTCATGCTGAAGGTGCAATCTTGTCTCAAGCAAGCACTTCACAGCTATTATTTTTAAGGAAAACCTTTATCCCTCTCCCCTAAATGCTACATATTGTGCTTACTGATCCCTACATATACAGTTCCTTTTGTGTCTGCTTCAGTTCAGTTTGTAGCTCATAAACACTTGCACTCACTTTAATTACTGTAATGCAGATTTTTGTATGTCCATGATATTTATAGGATGTTAGAAATTCTGCTTAGAGCAGCCAGAAGATGAGGAAGAATGGTCTAATGGTTAGGGCACCTGAGAGAGACATGGATTTGGTTCCTGTGTGACTTCAGACAAGTCCTTTGGTCTACCCTGTGCTTTTGTTGCCCATTTATTAAGGGCAACGAGAGGGCACAGCCAATACTTCTGGGGAAATTCTGCGCCAATGCAGAATTTTGTAGAAATTAATGCCCACAGAAATGTGCTGCTGGCTGCCCTTGGGGCCTGTGGCGGGGGACCCCCCGCCTCTGTCCCCTTTCCCCTGGGGAACAAAGCGCTAACCCCCAGCCTGGGGGCCTAGTCCAGCACTCGCAGCAGGCCCAGCGGCCTAGTCCAGCACTGCGGGGTGGGGTAGGGGGGTCCGGGCCCTCCCTCTCCACCGGACCCCAACCCAGGGCCCTAATGGTGGTGGGTGGTTCCCACCACCGGCTCAGCGGGGGGTCCTCCCCCACAACATGCTAAGCCCACTGGGGGAGGGGGGGATTTCCCGGCCTCTTGCCCTGGGTTGCTTCCTACCCCCAATCTGGCGGCCGACGGAGGTCCCACCTGGCGATGCTGGGTTGCCGGCAGCGGCCTCGTCCGACGGTCTTGTCCCTGGGGCAGCTGCACACAGGGGCGTCTTCTGCGGCGGGGCGGGCGGTCACCGGGCGTCAGTGTTGGGGGCGTGCTCGCCCCGGGGCTGGTGGTAGCAGCAGCGGCGCCTCCTCCGGTTCTGGATCTGGCGGCAGGTCCGGCGGCGGGCCTGCAGCTCGGGTCGGAGCTCCTGCCTCCCCAGCGGTCTGCCTCAACTGAGCAGCCCAGCAGTCTTTTATAGCGAGGCTGCACGTCGAGCATGCCCAGTAGGGCTGTGGGGGAGGGGCGTGTTCTGCCCAATAAATGGGCTCCCCTTCCTCCTGCTCAGTGCGGGGCAGGTTCGCCCCGTCACAGGGCCCTTAGACCTATCAGGGCTAAGCTAGCACATAGAAGACCTTGGCAGGGAGAGGAGAGAGAGCTAGAGGGCACCTGACAGCTTCAGTCTCCAACATTCCCAAAAGGAAGGAGACGGCAGTAGTCTGCAGGAAACCACCCAAGCTTGGGACCAAGCATCAGGCTGTTTCACCCTCTGGATCCCTTGGCTCTGAAGGGTAGGTATCTGGGAAAGGGAGGCACCTGTGGTTGGGCGAGGAGGGGTTGTGCATGTCTGACCCTCGAGTTGGTCTCTGTGTGGGAAGGGGTGGAGAAACAGAACTGGGTTGTCATAGGTGTTTCTTTACCCTTCTGTTGCTGGAGGAATGTGTGTGTGTGTGTGTTTGTTACAGGCATACTTGCTGACAGGTATTTTGAAATAAATTACCAAAACCACTGAAATATTGTGTGCAGAATTTTTTTTTGGTGCAGAAATTTTGGGGAGGGTGCAAAATTCTCCCCCGTGTAAGCCAAGGCTGTGGCTCAGACTTCTTTTTTTAACCCTCACGGAACAATGGTCATCCATCATTTAACTGGCACCCACTTTGCCCCACAGATCAAAGACAACAGACTTAATTCTGATCTCAGTTATAAACATGTTCAATTCAGAGTCAATGGAGCAATTATTGATTTTACATGCATATTTTACTTCTCTCCCCTGGAGCTACATTGGGTTTATACGGTGTTAACACTTCTGTCGCTTGGTTTGCAAAATACACCTTTTCTGATTTTGTAACTTGTTGCTATTTTGGTTTCATCATTATCAAAAGTTGACACTTGTGTCTCAGAAACCCTTGCTGCGAGTTGGGGAATGTTTGCACAGCTATAACTATTCATTGTTCTGTGAACCTCTTCTTTGCTGGCCTGCTTTTCTCAAGCATGCCAGAGAACATTTTGTTCTACCAAAGGCCCCAGCACTAAGCAAAAGAATTGCAAATATTTCCAAATGCTACCTAGTTCCTTTACAGTATCTATGATGGTGGGCTAAAAAAAACCACTTGTAAAAATACACTCTTAAGTCCGCTTCATTGAAATATTCTGCACTTAGCATTTTGCAAAAGAATGCATCCTTCCAGCCATGCTAAATTTTTCTGTTTAACCTGTTTAAGCTACAACATTTCTAGTGAAAACTGACAATGGCCAATAAAACAAAGATTTAAAACTGAGTTGGAGATATTTAACATTTAAATACTGCGAGAACTATTTTTTTCAGTTTTTATTTAAACTATCATTGTGGTTTTAAACCACATATTCAAGATTATTCTGTTGGACTGTGATTTATAACTTAAAATATAATCTCATAATGACAGCAAGGTGGAAGGAGCAGAATTGTTCCTTATGTTGATGTAGCTTACCTTAAATCAATTCAGTTTCACTTTAAACTGGCATTATCAAAATACTGTATAGGTGAAAAAGGCTGCTTAAAAGATGAATGTTAAATCCTAGCAGCATTGATGAATATTATATGGAGAGCTTACATATCACAGATATGCTGACGTTTGATTTTAAGAGGGAAGGAAAAGTCACGCCACTCTGTTCCCTTAAAACAAAAGTCTCAGTGTTCATAAGCAACATTTTAGTCAGTTTTGAGCAGAAAAGACTAACAGGTGGTAGGAAAGAATATTTTAGGACAGGCTATTAACATATCATTCAATTACACATAAAATATACTTTATAACAGCACTTTTAAAATATTTTTGAACCATGTATAAATTCATGTGGCACATTAGAAAGCTAACGTCTATTTTGTTGAGGGTTTTTCTCTAACCAGAAATAAACCTTATGATTAGAACTTAGGGCCTGAGTCAAATACCATTGAAATCAACAGACATCCTTCCCAATTCATGTAAAGAAATCTACTTCTGCCGTTAAAAAGAATAGCAATAAAACAAAGAATATTTACTTGCCTGAAGCAAACCAAATTTTGAAGCAAACCGAATTTCTGCTCCACTCTGCTATGATTAGGTCTCAGTTGGAGTAGTGTATACAGTTCTGGGCACACATTTCAAGAAAGATGTGGAGAAACTGGACTATTGGTAGCTGAAAAGGCAATGGAGCGAACTATGTTGAGAATTTCCCTTCTCTGAAATGATCAGAGAACACAGCGGCGTGAAAGATATTATCGTGGAAAGCAGACATAGCAAAATGCAATGGGCAGGCCACACAGCATGGCTCACGGACAATAGGTGGACCGCAATTATTGCTGAGTGGTACCCGCGAGAACAGAAAAGACCACCTGGTTGGTCTCCAAGAAGATGGGAAGATTACATTGTTAAAGGTTTTGGACGAACATGGAGAACAAAGGCAAAAGTGTGAGAAGAATGGTGGACATGTTGTGATCGGCACAGTCTTAATGGTAGCTGAAGACTGATTGACCCAGGTGGTGATCAGGAAAAACTTCCTGCCTGTCAGTGTGGTTAAACACTGGAATAAATTGCCTAGGGAGGGTTGTGGAATCTCCAACACTGGAGATATTTAAGAGCAGGTTAGACAGACACACACTGTCTGGAATGACCTAGACAAGAGCTATACAACGTTGGAAGCCCCAGGGGCCACAATGATATTCACAGCACATGCCGAGGGCCGCAACTCAAGTGTGGTCACATATACATGCAAATATATATGCAAATAGCTTCTTTCACACTGACGGGCATGAATACAAAGATTAAGACAAGACTACACAACACACAGTCCCTATTTAAGTCAGTTCTGCTGATATTAATAAAATGCAATATTTACCCCATTTCCACCCATATGACAGCACTTTTAATGAGCAATGACAGTCCAGGAATGTAACTCCTAAAGCGCATCTCAACAGAAGACCATTATATTGACTCACCATTGTGGAGAGTATTCCCAGTGGAGGCCATGTTCAAAGGATCCCACCTGCGGGCAATGTGCTGAGCCCCATATAAACCCAAACTGTACTGCGGGCCCATGGGCTACGTGTTGTGTAGCCCTGATCCAGATAGTGCTTGTTCCTGCTGTGAGGGCAGGCGACTGGACTCAATGACCTCTCGAGCTCCCTTCCAGTTCTAGTGTTCTATGAAATGTTATATTATGGTATTGTTGTTGGAAAAGACGACTAGCACTAATTGCAAACAAAGGCCGAGATCCTCCAAACACACAAGAATTATTTATCTGGTAAGTTGCCCTACTGAACACAAGGTTCTGATTCAAAGCCCACTGAAATCAACTGAAAGATTCCTAATGACTTCAAAGACTTTTGGGTCAGGTCCCAGGCATATAAAAGTTACTCAGGAGCACAAGTATTTGCAGAATTAGGAATCTTATATTATTCACACAGTATTTGTAAAAATATGAAAGGAAAAAACTGTTTATCTGACAGAAAGAGTTGACATTTAATTGTTGCAAGTTAGAGTAACAAATATTACTTACATTTTATATTCTAAAATACACATAGAAACACTAATTAGAAAAACTCCAGCATGCCAATTTTGCATAGGCACATTTTTTGTTTGATATCTTTATGTAACATTTCGATATGACCTTAAACAATTCATTTTTCAAAAGCTTTTCCACATTATTGTGCTCTCCAAATAAGGCATAAATATCTAGTTTTAAGAAAAACAGACTTGATTTGCACAAAAAATAAAACAGTCCTGCACCAATTTCATATGTTTTCAAAATATATTAAGTGTGTTTTCAATTCTTTCATTGTAAAATAAGAAAAATAATTCTTTTATGACTTGCACAAACAAAAATTCAGTTTTTAACATTTTATTAAAAACAGAGGGCATACAAAAACAAATTTGCAGTTGTTCATCCCCAAACCATTTTGAGATTTTGCTATGGTGTGCTGTGCAAAATAATTTATTAAACAGTATCAAATTATAATACTGGTTCTTCAAAGACTGACTTAAAATTGTTGCCTACTGCTTACATGTATTCACAATAGCCAACAGAGTTTAAGGATGTTATTGCTCACACAATCGCAAAAAGAAATAAATGGGCCCAAGATTTCATTACAGTTTTTCATGATTCAGCACAAGACATTTCTGTTTCATCTTACAAATCATATTATGCTTTAGAACTCAATCTTCATATGCTATTGGAAGACTAAGAAAAAAAATCTATTAAATTTGTCTCCTGTAAAAATGTTAGAAAGTAAACTAGAATGTGAATCTGTTGGGTTTTTTGGTTTAGTTAAAATGAGTATGTCAACTCTACTTGAGCTAGGCTCCCTTGGTTTGTGTTAGCTATCCGTAAAGGCTGATTGAATGAGATTCCTTTCATCATACAGGCACTGCTGTCTTTGCTACAGTAGTAGAGGCACGCTTTGACGGACAGCATGGCTTCAGATGACAGGCAGTTACCGGGTAACTGCAAGGCAATGAAAGGTTGATGGGAAATGTCCTCAATTTCTCCAGACGGATTCTGTCCCTGAAGCAGCCACTCATTACCTGAAAAAAAGAGAGCATGCTGTCACTGCCTTTTATACACAAAGACAAATCTCACAACGCATCAATATGGGCATGACTGTAGTTTTACGATAACATAACATATACTTTCTTACATGCAACCATAAGTGGATTTTCCCATTCTGGCTGAAAATTGAAAAATGTTTCACAAATACTTCTTTAGAAGTAATTTGTAACTTATGAAGTTTTTATTGTATAAAGCTTGCATTTAAACATATGGGTGGTACCTTGCACTGACTTTTTTTTAGATATATCAAAGCATCTGCAATATGCTTTGTAAGCTGATATTTAGATTTTTTCATTGAGCTAACAGAAGCTGTGTGCAAATATCAGAGTCCTAATACTCAAGATTAGATGACTGAATGCCCCAAAAGTTCATGAAACTGAAGATTCTTATGAAACATTTTCACAAAAAAAGTGTTGGCTTGAGAAATGGTTTACTGGAGGTTAAAATGTTTGGGCTGGCTGTTATGATGAGATCTGAAATTTCAGGGTGTTTAAATATTTAAAGAGCATATAAGCTAAAAAGACATTTAACAGTGGAGACATGCAAAACTGGAAATGTAGCTAACTTGTTGACCCAACACATATCTTGCCATAAGTGAGATGGATAAAGTACTATTTTTGGCATTTTTCAAAATAACTACAATGTTAAAAAAACCTGTTGGATTTATGAATTTTAAAATGATGGGTATCTCTCAACTGCTTACACTCTATTAACCCTCAAACCATATGGGATATAAATACATTTTGTAAAATCTACTAAAAATACAATGGTCCTCTCAGTTCAAAAAATTGAACATAAGAACAGCCACACTGGGTCAGGCCAAAAGTCCATCTAGCCCAGTAACCAGTCTTCCATTGCCAGATGCTCCAGAGGGAATGAACAGAAACAGGGAATCATCAAGCGAGCCCTCTCCTGTCATCCATTTCCAGCCCCTGACAAACACAGGCTAGGGATACCATTCCTACCAGTCCTGGTTGATAGCCATTGATGGACCTAACCTCCATTAATTTATCTAGTTCTTTCTTGAACTTTGTTAAAGTCAACACTGTCCAATTCAGTGGTGCAGATGAGTGGTCATGATTTAAAAAGTCAACAACTATATTTAGATTTTATATCTGCAATCTACAACAGGAACAAATGTTGTAATCTGGACCTCTGAAAATCTGACCTCAGAAATGGAAAATGAAGATTAAAAAACTATTTTTTGAAAAAAATTTCCTTTTTCTGTTTAGTGATGCTTCAGAAGAACAGACCGGTAAGGCTTTCAATATACTCTCTGGCACGAAGAGTGAAGAGTTCACCTAATTATATGTGGACAACAGCTTTTTCTGAAGACATCACTTATTTTCTAGGTCCCTGGAGATAACCAATAGGTAAATTATGCTATTTTTTAAAACAACTACGAGGAAAATGTTCCTGGATAAGTGATCATGAACTCACTTTTCAAGAATGGCAGGCAATATGGCATTCATATAAATAAAGAGCAATGCTTTTATGGTGGCAGTTTAATTTAGGCCCATAGTACCATAATAGCACTATTTTAGGCATACTAATGTAACCCAGTGTGGTTCACTGTCCCATGTAGTGCAACTTAGACCACTTATAGTAAGAGATAGGAACAAGGTAGCTCTACAGCCTAAGCTGAGAGCCAGCTGTCTTTACAGTTCAAGCTGTCGAGGCTCCTACACTAAGCTCCAGAAGTCTCAGGTTCAAGTTCACCCGGTGGCGGTTACACTAACAAAGAGTGATTTTACAAGGGGATGGAAAAGATTTAGAAATTCTTGTACAACTTGCTAAACCCAATTTTTTTTTTACTGTTAAAGTACCTGTGTAAATTCAGCATTTACATTTACATGGGGACTGTTGACCCCCACCACACTGCTGTCTCTATCAGAGGTAGCAGTGCTGGGGGATGGGCCCACTGGTAGGAGCCAGAGCATGCAGGGAACCAGCTTTTAAAGGCAGCAGCGTGGGGGCTAGGGAAGAGATGCAGCTGCGTGCAAGCTGGTACACACAGGGAGTCAGCTTAGGAGCCAACTGCCAGTGCCCACCCGCTTCCAGGGAGCCATCTGCTCTCCCTCTACTACCTCTGATATAGAGGCAGCAGGGAGGGGGAGCGTGTAACCATGAAGGTTAACTGATGAGCCCAGGCTCATATCACATCCTACATAAAACGTGTTAATACATTCTTATAAATATCATAACTGAGCACCTAGGAGACAAAGAGCTTAGGTTTACAGCACTGTTATGAAACACTTAGATTCACAGCACTGTTCTTCTTTTTCTCCTTCTTCCCATTTTACAGATAGGCAACCAAGGCACAGAGAGATTACACAGGAAGTCAGTAGAAGAGCCAAGAACAGGACCCAATTCAGCTTGTTTCCAGTGCACTAATTGTGCATCTTACTGTATACGTGTGTGTATATAGTAGGGTAAATCAGGTTTAAATTTTGTCAGGTGCAAATTTAACTTAAAATAATTTCTCACTCAGGATAAGAATGTCCTTACACCGGATAAAATGTGACTTCCTTCAACAGTATGCATCAAGTTTCTTGCTAAAAATTCTAGCTGTCAGCCTCCTGTAAGACAGATGATAAGGGTGGAGCAGCCCATCCCCAAATGACGATAGGAGAGCAATCATCCGAAGAGCATAATGGGACTGGGCTCTTATTGTTGATCATTAGCAAAATCTGATATTTTAATTGTCTGTCCAACGCATTATTCACTCTAGATGAGTGGAGGAATGAGTGAGGAGAACTTTCCAAACTTGCCTACAGTTTTAGAAATGTTTAAATATTGTATGTCACCTTCCGCTGTGAGAAACCAGGAACTGGGTGCTTCTTCAGTCAGCTTTGTATTTGCAGGAAGGCTTAACCTTAACAAAAACTGAAGAGTCTGACCAGGGGTTACAGTCAATGAAGGAAGTTGGATGTTTGGTGCTGATTTAGGCAGCCTGGGAACGTTGGCCATCTTATTGTTTTGGACAAATGGACTATCTACAACATCAAATATTTCAGTGTTCAGGATAGGCAGCTGTCAAAGAAATCAAAAGAAATATTAACAAGTATTTATATTTGAAAACCTGCTTTATGGCATAAGACTGCAGAGCATTGTGTAATTACGAATTCAAATCACCACAATATACGAATGAAAAATTTGTACCAAAATGAAGATTTATATATTTCAACACATTTATTGTAAGACATGTACCCCGTTTAGCCAGCATACAGGAATGCTGCATTGCTAGGAGAGGGAAGAGGAAATGCTATGAAAAAAAGCTATTAAAAATTATTATAAAAGAATTTCCTTTAAGCAATATGAATGTCCCCATTTATTTTTTGTGTTTTTTGCCTTCTCTGTTAGAATAATTTCATTCCAGTTATCAGTTTAATAATAGCCCAATAGTGCTTTCTATTAACAACTGTATCCTGAGATAACAAAATTCTAGCTCTTGACTGTGGAAATTATGCAGTCCGGGACATGATTATCTCATACAAACAGAAGCATCCGATAGTTGGTATTTAAATATTAAACTTATATTAAAATTTAGATGATACTAAATGTAATTAAATACACTTCCTGTCCTGAGGAAGACAGTTTAGACTGTGCATCAGTGTATCTCCATGGCAATAGCTACTTAGGTATATATGATGCCATCTTCACACAGAGCAATTAATTCACATCTGTTTTGCCTTACTGTAATAAGGAAATAAGGTGGAATCCACTTCTGAAATGGGTCTATTTGGGGAGAAATCAGGAATAGACAAAGTTCTGCATTTGCTCATGAAAGATTAAAAGCCATTTAAAAAATAGCTTTCGGTGATGAACACTGAAGCAGAACTAGATTTGAAAAAGTCCAATTTAATAAACCAAACACATATTTAGGAGTAATATGTATTGTTTTTAAAAGACAACAGTGAGCTATTTTGCTTTCCCATTCATGAACATATGAAATAAAAACAGTGTGCTAGCATTCTCAAGGTTGAACCTGCACTTTGTTGGGCTGGTTTTGCATTCCTACTATGCCACATGCCTTTATTAGAAGTCAGAGAAAAAACTGCAGAACTACAGTCACTGGCAACTGTTCATGTAACAATGCCATGCAGACATAACTGAACTCATCAGCCCTTTCTTGGGGGACTTGATCCGCAAGCAGTTGAGCAATCTTAACTCCTATTAATTCCAATATGAGTTGTGATTGTTCAGGACCCTGATTAGGTGTTCATCGTCTTGCAGGACTGGGCCAACAGAGGCTATTTCTCAGAGGGCTGAATTTTCTGTATTCTAGCTTTTTCATTCAAGTTAGTAATTTCTTTCTCTATGCACAAGGGTCCTTCCCAGACTCCTAGCAGAGATGGACCACTTATTTTACGCCTAACAGGAGATCCTTAAAATAGACAGCATTTCTGTTTGTTGAAATATTATGGATAACCATTTACTGATCTGAATAAATCTATCAGCTATGGTATTTTATACCACCCAAAATCACTATGAGCTGAGGAAAACCTCCAGTAATAATTCACCTTAACAAAATCTCATGTCAAAAGCCTAAAATAAGTTTTACTTGCCATGGAAACAGTTTTTGTTTCTAAATCCAGTACTTTAATTTGATGATTGTTTGTGTCAGCAATATAGAGGAGACGGCCATTCTGTTCTATACATAATCCTCCGGGTTCATTGAAAGTCGACTGCATGAGGCTGGAACCAACAACATTACTTGCTTCTCCTGTGCCTGCCAGTGTAGCACAATTCTTCATTTTAGGATCTACAAACTTAATCTAAGGAAAACAAAATGAATGTTGAAAAGTCATCAGATAGATAATACAACAGATTTGTGTGGCTAGTGTTTTCAGAAGACACCAACATTTTGTAGTACTCTACTTGAGTGCCCAACTTACACACAGTAAGACTTTCTGAGGTAAGATGCTCAATACTTGAAAACTTAGGCCCTTATAGGTATGTCAAGTGAGTACTTGGGGCATGCAAATTCGCTAGTCTATTTTGATATTATTGGCCAATTTCCCTTTTCCTGAAAATAAAGCTATAAATAAATATGCAGGAAATATAAACAGTAAATAAGTTAATCACAATTTTTCTAGAGCAGGCAACCTAACTAACATTAAAAGTAATCAAACTCCTATCTTCATACTTCTATACTACTTTTAATTTAATGAGGATTTAACTACAGTATCAATTTGTAAGTATCTGGGCAGACAAAGAAACTCTAGGAATAAGTATAGTCATAACCAATAATTATTAAATGGATTTGTAAACAATTATTTTGAACCTACACATCTCCACTATACAAATTCATGATGATAAACTTATCATATACAGGCAGTCCCCGGGTTACATGGATCCGACTTACATCAGATCCCTACTTACAAACGGGGTGAGGCAACCCCGCACTAGCTGCTTCCCCCCAGCAGACCAGGGAGATGCGAAGCTAGCGCCCCCCCCCCCAGCAGACCAGGGAGACGCGGAGCGGCTTTTCTCAGCAGACACCTCAGCTTGAGAATAAAGGACTGAGGGAAGTGAGGTGTGGGAGAATAAAACTGAGCTCCGGAGAAATGTTTGGCTAGAGTTTCCCCTACAGTATGTACCAGTTCCGACTTACATACAAATTCAACTTAAGAACAAACCTACAGTCCCTATCTTGTACGTAACCTGGGGACTGCCTGTACATATATAATACTCAAAATGTTTTAATAATTAGTTTACATGAAGATGGGGATAATTCATATATATTTATTTATTATTAAAGTAAAAAGCTGCAAATATATATGAAAATTGGATTGCTTTGCTTTTATTCCCTTCCCCTACCCTGTTTTCAAATACCACTTGCTTCTTACACCCTAATCCTGCAAGTTTTCTATGCATGCTTAAGCTTTACAGCCTGCAAGTAGCTATATTGATTTCAATAGGATTACTGAGAGGTTAAAAACATGCTAAGACTTTACAGGACAGGGGAGTCTTGGATTGTTAGGTCTTTGGGGGCTAGAACTATATATCTTTCTCTCCAATTTTATATTACCTTACATAATTGGGCCACTGTGTGGTAATATAATATGAATATAGGTGGAACCTCTGTCATCTGGGACACTGTGGTCTGGCAACATCCATGGTCTGAAAGGAACATGAATGTTGCTGGACTAGAGAGCCCCAGAACAAAGGTTGCTGGCAGCTGGGAGCCAAACCAGCTGGTAGGGCCAACACAGTAGCAGAACCTATGGGGCATCAGAGCCCGCTGGGCGGGGGGAGGGACTGAGCCCACAGCTGGTGGGGCTACAAGTATCTGCAGGGCTGTCACTGGAGCTTCCGGGCCGGCAGGGTTGCCAAAGCTTGCAGGGCTGCAGAGCCCGCAGGACTGTCACAGACAGGGGACCAAGGGCAGTGGCGCCAGGTAGTTGGGGAGAGGAGCCCAGCGGAGAAGCTGGTGCCCCACTCCAACCTTCCCTGGTCCAGAAAACTCACTTGTCTGGGACCAATCAGGTCCTGAGGGAGCTGGACCAGGAAGGTCCAACCTGAACTAAATAATAGTAACCAACTGACAAAACTGGATGATAATAAAAACAGCTCATCCCTCCCATTGTATTAGTTTTCCTGCAGGAAGAAATGAAGAGCAAGTGACATGGTTTGGTTTGAATGGCGAAGCATTTGAATGTTTGTGCCACAAATGTAGGGTTTGATTTTTTTCATATTATCGGAGCAGTCAAAGGCTCTAATTAGGAGCTATGTTAGCAGCCTTACAGACTCACAATCTGTTTGTTTCATTTTCATATATTTTATTTTAATTTAAGAAACACGATTAAGAAAAAAAAGGACCCTTGTTATTCCTGATAAGCAAGTTAAAGAACTCCAGTGCAATTAAACTGTCAAGTACAGTTTAAAAAACAAAACGACAAATAAACCTTAATTGCAACACTGTTTGGCCACCCAGTTTAAATAAATGGCTTAGCTGAAATGCATCTTAAGCTAAATTTAAATATAGTTCTTGAACTCTGTTCCTAGTCTAACATAACTGGGTTCTTAGTTAAGATGAGAAAGAAAAAAGCTACCGAAGAGAAGAGATTGGATAAAAAACAAGTACCAATACTACATCTGCAATTCATAACATTCAGTATTTAATTTTATTTGTTTTTATTTTCTTTTATATTTACAACACTGACTTAATCATATTATGTTATTTTAATAGACCCCATAAATATTTTAAAACATTATAGAATAATCTATTTAACAGCAAAATAAGCAGTAAATACAATTCCAGTCTCACAAATAATTAAACATATGCCGCTTCAAATTATTGTCGTTCCATTATCACAGTTGAAAATGAAAAAATTACTTTTGAAAATTTCTGAGCTGAATAACAGAACTCATTGGTTAAAAGGCATCTTATCTAACTAATTCTGTGTAAAATTAGGTTGAGTGAAAAAGATTGACTGAGCTTATTTAATCACAGGGTTGTCAAGTTCCTTCAAACTTTCAGCTTTTCAATTGGAGCCTGAGGAACTAATTGTTTCCCCCTAAAGCTTGATTTTAGCTATTTATTACTGCAAGATTTATGGCATAATTCAAAGCAATGTGTCATGAGTAAACTCAATGTATGCTCTAAATGTAGAAAACAACCAACCAGTTAGTTCTGGAGTAAAGTACAGGGCTATAATTCTACTTCATGGGTCAACAATGTAATAAACTCTAAAGGAGATGTTTGAGTGGGTTATGTAATCACCAGCATCCAAGGATGGAATTACTGCCCCATAATTCAAAATCTGGTGGGTATTTATATTGTGTTTAATACATGACGACATCTAGTATCCCAACTGCTTCTTTCTTTTGTTAACTTTCCATGCTTCCCTGCTTGACTTCCCTTCTTTTGGTCTTCATTCAGGGCTCTCTTTTACATCATTTCCAGTATTTTTAAGACATCTATCAATGTGGTATCTACATCTGTATGTTGCTGAATGGCATGTTCCCCTTACATGTACAAAAAGAAGCCTGCCAAATTGTTTTGTTCATGGCTCTTTAATTATTTGTAACAAGAAAAAGTACATTCAATTCTGTTTTAAAGTACTACAGATGAATGAATCCTAAATATTTACTTTAATTTTTTTTTAAAGAAAAGGTCTTTTACTTAAAAGTCTACCATTGCTAAATAGGGAATTATTGATTAACATTAGATACTTAACTTTTCATCTTAAGAGAAAAAAAACCCTCATGTAATTTCAGGAATCATTTACTACTATCCAAGGGTACCATCTATACTGCATGCTTATTTCAAACTAAGCTATTCTGGAAGAAATATTCTGAAATAGCTTATTTCGAAATGTCACATCTATACTACAGGGAAGCCTCAAAATTAGTCTGAGATTGGCTTCCCTAATGTGGACGTGCAGAAAAGTTGGGGTGGGAGGAGAATATTAGGCCTAACCAACACAGTGTTGTATAAACCTGGCCAAGGTAAATAATCGGGTTTAGTGGAGTAAACAAATCTAATCAGCGTGGAATTACAACACCCACAAAAATAGAGATATACAACATCTATACATCATAATCTTTATCTCACTTCATGACTGGTCCACCAATGAGAGTAATTACCAGCCTTTCTATCTCTCAGAGATAGTGT